TCAGCGTCTCCGTTGAGAGCTGCTGAAATCCTTAGATAGTCGTGCGTGGGTTGTTCAAACAGAAGTTATAATTCCAAACGTCTCTGACTCTCCTGAATTCTCGAATTCTCTTCCATTCACTTCACCATTCTCCATGAATTCTCCATGAATTCTAACAAATTCTAACCTGAACTGGGAAGTTGCCACATTTTAAATGGGTCGACTTCCGGTTCAATTTAGAGCTTTCTGATTCGTGGATGTACCAGAAAGAGGTGTGTTTTTGAGGTAAGGTATTATCAAAAGTCGAGGTCAGGGAATGAATTTGTTTTCAACATACAGAAAAGATTATGGCAGAATACCAGACTTTTTGGAGCCTCACTCTGTTGTATCTTTCCAAATAGTAAAACATGACATCCCATTTTCAGTAAACATTTAGTTGACCGAAGCTTCAACTTTCACATACTTACGACAGCTTGCTCATTGAAGACAGAAAATCAAGAAATGCATATTAACCTGATTTCTTCTTTGAATGAGGAATAAAAATCATTACTTACTGTTTATGTAAAATAAAATGAGTAGTTCTTTTTCAACCTGTAAGCATTGAATGGAACTAACACAATTTGATTATCAAACATTTGTAAAACAGTAATGATTATAGAGGATTGTCTTTTCTGCTTGATTAATTCAAGAAAGAAAGTCATCAGATGGCTCAGACTTATTCAGATCAATGAAAATAACAGTCTCTGTCCATCTGATAGATTTGAGGTCATCAGGGTCAGATCAGGTTCACTACAGTCCCCCCTTTGGAAATCATCACCTGTCCATGGGGATGAATTCCAACCGTGAACTTAGACCTTCAAATGTCCTTGAGCTTGATGTAATCCAGCAAGGAAGACCAAAGTCAGAAGTAATCCAGCAAGGAAGACCAAAGTCAGAAGTAATCCAGCAAGGAAACAAAGTCAAGGTAATTCCACAATGTTCTTGGTATTCCATTGTGTTGATTATAATCCCATATCGTCTCGATAATTCCATTGTAGCAATGCTTTAACCCCTTGGAAACAGAGTCTGTAATCCATTGGCAAAAGTCATATAATCCACAACGGTAAATCCACAGCGATTGGAAGTGTTGATTAATCAGCATACAGAGGGGTACCCTTGGATTGAACTGAAGAAGCGGCCACTGGATGAAGAGTTGAGACCAACGTCAGGATTGCAGGTCGCCTCCAGCGAAGGTTGTCTCCAGCGACGTCCAGCCTGTGCCGTTCTGGTTCAATGTGTCATGCAATTATGTGGTTTAAGGTGGGCTTATGAAGGGGATTTTACATAAGGCCTTAAACTATATGCATCTGGTGTGTAAGCTATTATGGTTGGGAACAGCTACAACTACCAGTTAAGGGGTGGAGAATGCTGAAAAAGGGGTACTACAGGGGTTTATGCCTATAGAAAAGGGTTCCAAACTATTTTTCCATTTCTAACTTGGTTTAAGTTAGCTTTACATGGTAAA